AAAAATAACTTATCTTATTAAATGTTCTTCAAAGACCAAAAAAAAAGGTCAATGTAAGAGGTCTTAATATGTGTTAAAAAATAGTACAGAAGCACTAATAGTTTGATAATAGTCTGCAATGTGATAGTGATAAGTGGGGGACAGATTAGAACTTAATTTATGAGTTGATATTGATTATTAGATTAATTATTTTGTTGATCCTGATCCTGATCTACTTCTCTTGCTTTAGGGCAACAAAGCTTCATCTATCAGTTTATTTAACTTCTAAATTGTTGTATTAGCCTCTTGTTAAAGCTATATATGGCGTATCTGAGCTAAAAAATAAAAATACAAGATTGAGTGTAGATGAACATGATATTTGCGTTCAAATTAAAAATTTCTACCGATTTTAAACTTGAATATCCCCACCTTTCTATAGTTAAATTGACGTTAAACTGTGTCCGATATTTAAATGCAGAGTCGGTAAATAAATCGGTTATTGTTTTAGATATCTAATATCTATGAAATGCTATTGATTTAAATTGTGTAGTTTACAGGAAAGTCCTATCTTTGTATAAAGTAATAAAGCAAATAGGAAGATCCTTTTAATTTCAGTCTGAACTTATCAAAAACACGCCATATATGACTTTAAACTATAGCTACTTCTTGTATTAAATGATTCAACTGATATGAAAGTATCTTACATTGTATATCATGACGAGAAGTGAAATAGATAAAACAATTTCACATCAAACATTAAGTATATGGTAAGGTGTTAATGGTAAGATTTTTCTGTATTTAATCAGGGTTAAATGTTTCATGAAAGTTAATCAGAATTTCATGATAAAATAAATATTTGATCAATATTCAAATATGTTATCTATTTTTTTAACAGCTACACTAGTCGGGAAAATATGCTGTGTGCATTTCCAGCAGATGTAGAAATTGCAGCAATTGTTAAAGACTGGTTCTGCTTTGATGACAATGAAGAAAGAGGAAGGAGAGGGGGAAAATAAGTGAATATGTGAAAAACAGATGCAATCCGAACATGACCATGTCATCTTTTGTTTCTGGATAATACTTTTTATGTCCTTAAAAAGATTTTAGTGAAGATAGAGATTTATTAAAATCGAAAATCAAATACATGTATGGCAAAGTTGTAGTGTGAACAGTGAGCTTCTTAATATACTATTTATGGGATTATACAAGATTTTTGTAAAAAAAAAAAAAAAAAAAAAAAAAAAAAGGAGATGATTTTTGAATTGAAATGATATGATGTTTGAAAAAGGAGATGGTGTTGCAATTGAAGTTTCCACTGCCTCATTATATGAAACGTTTTAGACTTGACGCTATACCGAACCCAGAATCAATCATAGATGCAAGTGATACAGAGGAATTGTGGAGTATATTTGACATTTTGAATAAACTTTAGGCAGGAGCGTAAAAGCAAGACATATATACAATTGGATATTTAAAATATTGTTTTATGTTTAAACTCTGTTAACTTTAGCAAATGCTTATTTAATTATTATTATTATAATACTGAAACAAGCATAACAAAATTTGTTAGAGGATAACAAATAAATTGTACAGTTAATCATTTTTCCTTTGCCTCTTTGTCAACATTAGCTAGTTATTTTTTGTCAAGAGGGATTAATTTGAATGGAAATCATTATTTATATATGAGGTTGGGTTACGATGAAAAAAATCATTGCCGGTAAGAGAACAATCGGTCATTGTTGGGCCAACACGAGTAAAGGACACTGGACCATCATTGAGCCACCGATGGTATTTTGGTGAACGGACGTTAGGCCATTGTTGGGCCAACACAAAGAGTAAATTGGGCCAGTGTTGGGCCTTTTTGATACAATCACTGTTGGTAATGAATGTTGGGCCATTGTTGGGCCAACATTGATCAAATACAGTAATAAAATGGACAAACATTGTACCAACGTTGGCCCAATATGTTGGGCCAACGTAGTTCCCTTGAGCAAACCTGCAACTTGTAAGATAAAGAAAACAAAAGCAAAACAAAAATGCTGTGTTTTAACAGAAGTGGCAGGGGTGGATTTTGTACACTCAATGTCTCTTCTACTACGACTGAATATCTAACATTTACAAATCTTACGGAAATAATCATCACAAATACGAATGAGGTTATGTGAATACTTACGCGCTTCAGGAAATATACCTACATGACAAATCTGTGATTTACACACCAATAACTCACACAAAACTTCATAACATTCCTTAAATATTCGATTAGTTTACCTACAGAACTCCTTAAGTGCAATGACCACCCTGGTGTTATGTCTAGTTTATTCTTATAAGCAGTCTTTGTGCAAAAGTTATCATCTGCGTGATGAATAAACAATGAGGTCGAACAACGTTAAATATGACCTACAAATTCATATACAATGCTATACAATTTCAACAAGAAATATGTATTCTGTTCAACGCATTCTTTTTTTTATTATTAGTGATTCTACTGTTTCTTATTATTATTATTATTTTTTCCCCCAAAATTTTGTGCAGGCGATTTCTCAAAAACTATTCAGTGATTTTAAATGAAACTTTCAGGAATTATGCGTCGTCTAATGGACTTTGTTCATCAGAAGGAAAATTTGGAAAACTCGCTTCCGGTGCCAAGTTATTGACAGTTTTCTGATTTTAAAATGAGATTTTGTTCCCCCCTTTTTTTCAAAAATGGTTTAAGATATGAACTGGAGACTTGTTAGAGATGATAGGTTATGTCTTCTTGATGAGGGGAATTACCTTTTTGTGCGTCGTCAGTACTTCCGGTCGTTACCGGATGCGAATTTAAAAAAGTCGAATTTTTAAACTTTTTTTGTTTTTCTATATTTTTCTTTTATTTTTATAAGGTTAATAGAGGCTCTTCTGAAAATGTTAATATATAAATCATTTTAAAATTGATCAATCCAAACTCTAGATATTCGCATTTCTAAATTTGAAGCGGGTCCAAAATGGCGGCTGTCTCCGTAAACTCCGATAAGTAGGTCGGAATTTATGGAGTCAGCCGAGCGTTTGTTTGAATGAAAGTACCATAAGGATCAAAGAAATGTGAAGGAATTGTTGGATTGTCACATCACAATTACGTTGCAATTCTGTTTCGAACTAGAGTTTTAATCCGGGGTTTCCTCAAACGTGTACTATAATTGTTCTTGTCTGTATCTCAAAGTAGAAAAACGACATGACTACAAGTGGAAATACGATAACTACAACGTTTTGTTTTACACCATGGAAAAACTGATCCTAAACCATGGTTATAAGTAATAGCTTTTCAAGAAACTTGCCTGACTAAAGCAATCAATATATAGTAATTATTACGTGGCCATGGTTTTTTCCCATGCAGGCTTGTGTCATATTAAATGAACAGAAAAGACAAAAATAAGAAAACCATTTTTTTAAAGATTGTTTAATGAAGTTGATATAATTTTTTTTTTCTAAAAGATGTTGTTATTGAACATAAATGGTATCAGATTCCTTGACCGTCGCAGGACGAGAAATGTTTTTGGGCGAAACATTCCAGTCTTTTCATGAATGTGTAACTAATCGGGATAGTCCACTTTGGGGGTAAACAGGAAAATAAAACTTGTAGAAAATCTTACCTAAATCACTGCTTTAGTGTTACTTATCCATACGATATATAATAAGTACAATATGATAAATATACTTTCTCAAGCTCGATATTCAGGTTATAAGAACATTTTGAAATTTCATTGAAGCTATCACCATTCAATAGAAAATACATTCCAAAGGAAATGCGCGAATATTTACCCGTGACGTTTCGCGCGAAATAATGTATCGTGACCAACCTTTCGTAGTAGACAAATGGTCTGATGCAGAAGTACATAGAAGTGCAGTAAAAGATTACGTGGACAAGACTGTACATGGAATTACTTGAAATAAAAAGTTGAATACATAAAGAATAAAAGAAAGTAAACAGTATCATCAGAGAATGGCTAAAGATATGAATATGAAACTTCTTGAGGTGATAGAGCATCAAATGTAGATATGGTGATTGACCATTATTTTTCGTCATTCTTACTTCCGGTCGCAAACGGAAGTGAATTCAAAAATGTTAAATTTGCAACTTTTTGTTTTTCAATATTTTTCTCTGGGAATTACAGGGTTAATAGAGAGTCTTCTAGGAGTTTTATGTATGTTTTCATCTTTTTGATTGAAAAAGTTTGCAGAGATTTTTATAAAATTCACTTCCGGTCGAGTGTTTTCCTGTCCTCAAAAGTAGAATTTGTTCTCACAATATTGCTCGGCAGCAGTAAACGACTGAAGTCTAAAACTTTCAGGTCTTATAGTCAGTCATCAGTTTATTTGAATGGTGAGAAAATCTTGTATCGCCGTTACTTCCGGTCGTGACAGGAAGTGATGCAAAAAAGTGAATGGTTAATGGTTAGCTTTCTTGGATTTTCACGCTGAATTTCTTTTATCACTTTTTCAGCGTGATTTTTTTTATTTTATTTTCAGAATCGGAAGGAAAACCTCTTATTGCTCGCAATGAGTTTCTAGTTATTATTATCATTCTACTTTCACACATATTACAGAAATACACACAAATGTTTATATAAATAAAACAAATCTTTTGTAGGTGTTAAAATTACTCCAAAATATCTAATTTTTTTTATTGTTGTCAATTATAAGTAGAGGCGAGGGACCAAAAAAATGTGTTTTAGTTTTGAGATATGCGTTTCATTATGAGTTGTTCTATTTAATGGAATTTCATCAAATATTTAGAGAAAATGTTAATACTGATTCCGATACAGAAAGAAATTAATTAATTAGTGGAACAAGTCTAATTGACCAATTCTATTAGATTTCAATATGCAAAATGTCATTCTGCTCATAAAAAGTCTATTTACATGTAGCTCTTCCCGCGCTTTCATTCTTTTTTTATATATGTATATATAAAACTTAAAAATAAATTTATGTTCATAAAAGAGCGTTCTTTAAGATGTATGAATGTATAAAATCTAATTTTACAGGCGGAGGTGGACAAGGAACTCTTGGTGGATTCGTCCAGTTGAACGATGGTGAAATTGGATTCATAACCTGTGCCCATGTTTTGCATACTGCAGATGAAATGTTGAGAAATCCTTCTAATTTGCAATTTCCTGTTGTTCAACCATCTCTATGCTATGAAGGATCCCAAAGGTGTGGTAATATTTTTAAGTCAGCTTTTCCTTCCTCTACCATCGTAGACGGAGTTAGTGTTGATGCAGCAGTTGTCAAATTAACAAATCGGATTCCAAAGAAAGCATTACTTTCAGATCTGACGACGGCAAGACTTAAAAAACTCGGTATTATTTTATAACTCTCATTTTCTTCTTTTTTAACTATTATAATTTGTATTTTACTTAAAAGCGAATACTTCAAGAAAAATGAAGAACATACATCTATTATTCATGTAGAGCTATAGTAAATAAAGTCAAGTCAAGACACTGACTAAAACGGACTAAAACAGCAAGTTTCTTCAGGTTGCTACTAAACTCTATGTTTGCAGTTTACAATCTTCTTTGATTTGATTTCATTAAACTTTTTTCTTATATTAGTGTATTCATGTGTAAGAGATTTGTAAAACTACTTTTATATTAGGCCCTCTTTTAAACACGATCATACCATCGTAATAGCAAACATTCGAATATTTATAGGTTTTTCTAGAAGCATGCTTCCAAAGTTTTGTTGTGGTAAAATACGCTCTGGGGAAGAATCACAAGATCATCCGCATGAGGGAGTCTTGAAATGTGGAATGGTGTCTGGATTAACTCTTGGAAAAGTGGAACAAGGAGAAATCTTCGCCAGATACCGAAATATCCCACTCTACGATGATCAACAACGCATTTCAACCATGTATATGTCACAACTTGTTATACGTGGTATACGGAATACTCCTTTCTCTTTAAAGGGAGACTCTGGGGCTCTAGTGTTTCAATATAGCGATGTCAATGATTTGCGGTGTATAGGTATGATAGTTGGTGGGGGTGGGGAAGAAGGTTTATCATATGCCACCCCAATTACATCTGTCCTTGAAGCGTTGAGTGTGACACTCAAGGATTTTTAATTTAAGCTAAAATGAAGAAAAACACCATATTGAAAAATATTTAAACTTCATTTCAAAATCAAGGCTATACCAGTCTTGCTTTTCTGATAAAAACTATGAAAATGTAAGTACACTGTAAGACATAAATATATGCCAATCATTATGTTTAAAAAAATGTACAAAAAAATAGTCTTTTCTAAACAGAAGGAAAATCCTTTGAACGTCAAATTTAGTTGGCTTTAGTTTTTTCTTAATTTTCTACATGATAATGAAAAATGACCTCATTAACATATCGTCTACTGGAAGAAATAATGTTTTCGTAAGAAATTAAATTATACGAGTTTTTTATTGAATAGATTTACGTGAAAGCTTCTTTATATACCGCTAGTGCAGGTTTATACAAATCATGAGTTGAAGCAAGAATCAGGGTTTGTTTTACAATGTTATGAAAGGGAAAAAATCTTTCAGTCTTTTATTAGTATGTACATAATTATGTATAAGTTTACTAATGATTGTGTTTCTTTTTAATCGATAGTCTTGTTAATATAAAAATATGTAGATATATGTCCAGGAATGTAGCATCGTTTCACATTTTGTTTTCATTTCCAAAGTGGAGGGGGCAGAAAATAATTGAATGGAACCAGAACTTTAAAATGAAACTAAGACAGAAAGAAGAAAAAGTAACGAAAACAAAGAAAAATGTGAAAACTTGAAAAAAAAATACTGGAGTCAAGGGTTCTAACTCTCTTGTTTTCGAAAATCAATTGAATACTCTTTATTGGAAAGGTTTGACATTATTTAACATAATGCAACAAATAGTATGTAGGGGTAACAAACCTTTCGATGGAAATTTCCGTATTAAATTAACAGTAAAACTGTATACTCTGAAACCCCCTCCCTCCCCGATACTACATGTATGTGCCTGTAAGTTAGTATTTATCTGAATGAATAACATCAAAATAATGTTTATTTTAACATATCATTATCGTTTAAATTCATTCTATTATATAAGACAACATGCTTTATTTATGTTTACTTTTTAAGTTCACATGTAGGAATCATTGTTTAGTTTGTTTGTTATGTCAGGGACATTAACGACATACAATTGGAAACAAGGGATAATTCATGCATATTATATTATCCTACTTTTATACATGTCGTTAAAACCCAGGCATACCTAGCAAAATAGACAGCGATTCCTTAAATATAATTAACATTGCATTTCCATCAAAATATACACATTTTACTAATAAATTTTCAGCATATTTCTTTTAAAAATAAGATTTTTAACATCTTGTGTAGGCCTAGTGTTATAAACAGAAGTCTATATTCAGGATTTGAAAGTCCACTAAAATGTATTAAAGCACAGATTTTTAACATTTAGTAAAATGTGAACACTTAGAATGCATTACTTTTATTTCATACATTTGAAAAATACCATATTCGTTAATTGACATTTTCTCTTTGCATGTAAGCAAGTTTATTACTATATACAAAATGTACTAAGGGTTCGTTGCCTTATGTTCTCAGTGGCGAATATCTGCATATTTTACAGATAAATTTATAAGCACAACTTACAAATAATCTTTTGATATATAAATATAATCACAATTTAAATTGTTTTCAATGACTTTACCATTATTTCCATGTAACTTTACTTGATTATATCACTTAAATCAAGTTTTGATTGAATAATTCATTAATAATGCTTTATCAGTTGTTGTCAGTTTCATTACAAATTGCTAGTAACTTGGATTCGACAACCACAATCACCACTATCTACATCATAGCTTCTTTGCCAATAAATAACAAATGCAATTCTATATATTAAAGTTCAACCTGCGATGTTTGACGCAAAAGTATCTGGAAACAGAATATACCTCGGCCTGTCCTACTTTTTGTGAGATTCTGACAAAGCTCCATCCTTTAGATGTACTTGTTTCCGTTTTTATTCAAAAGCCTGAATGAACAAATATCTCTATCCGTGTACATGTAATTCTTCTCATGTAAAATTTATTTTTAATGCAATTTAATTTGTAGAAGTTATGTGGTCTGTAACCTGTCATCATCTCTTAGACAATGTTATATTTGTTAATTAAAGATAATTGGTTTATGATATATTGCTTTCAAAAAAAATATCATCTCTTAATTAAGAGAGATCATTGGTAAACTAATATTCCATATAACAAAAATCTAGTTTTCCAATAACCGAAACTATTTCAATAAATATGTGACACTATGTTCCAGTGAACGTCCACGATTTTTTGAGACAAAATATCGGTTGTTTTTAGCTAACTTGAGCTGAAAGCTGAAGTGAGCTTTTCTGATCCCATTTTTTCCCTTCGTCCATCTGTCTGTCTAACTGTACTTCTGATCGGAAATTTTTCACATTTTCAAATTCTTCTCAAGAACCACAGGGCTAATTTTAACCAAACTTTCCACAATGCATCCTTTGGGAAGAGGGGATTTAATGTTGTTTAAATAAAGGGCCATGCCTTCTTATAAGGGGAGATCATTAAGAATAATTGAAAACTTAATTGCATATGTTAAAAATCTTATCAAGAACCACATGGCCAGAAAATATGAAACTTATGTGGAAGTATCCTCGTGTAGTGTAGATATGTTTGTTCAAATCATGACCCCAGGAGTAGAGTGGGACCACAATGGACAATCAAAATTTTATATAGGAATATTTTGAAAAATTCTTTAAAAATCTTCTTAAGAACGGCAAAGCAATGATCAGTCATATTTTAATGGAAGCATGTTCAGGTAATGTATATTCAAATTTGTTCAAATATCATGAACCCCAGGGTAGGATTGGGCCAAAATGGGCGATCATATTTTTACATAAGATTTGTAGGGAAAAATTTTCACAAAATCTTCTTAAGAACATCAAAGTCATTGTAAGACATAGTTATATGAAAGCAGCCTTATGTAGCATGGATTAGAATTTGTTTACATCATGACCCCCTGGGGGTAGCCTATGGGCACATTGGGTGATCAATGTATGAACAATCTTTAAAAATATTCTTCTAAAGAACAGCAAACTCAAGATAAGTTCATACCGTATAACGGGTATTTTTCTGCGGTTGTCCAATTATTTCTTCAATATTAATTCAGATATTTTACACACGCAAATTTGATAAGTGCTTAGTATGTAAATCAACCTGGTTTAATGCTATATCATAACTTCTTACTCTGTATTCTTAAAAAAAGATACATGCTTACGGATGTATGAAATAAAAAAAAAAATCAAAATAGTCTACGAATACTAAGTAAAAGATAGTAGAGCTTAGTATCAGTTCTTATGTACCTTGGTCAACATGTCTTGAAATGAATTTTTAAAACGTAAACATGGCATTATTTTACGAAATTCCTAAAAATTGGTGTTCATATCCCGTCAATAGATTTTTTCGGTATAAAGCAACCGCAGAAATTGAAAACGCAGAAATTAATTTGCTTCCTTTCATGGATCTAACCGCAGAAATTTCCAAGCGCAGAAAATACCTGTTATACGGCATTTATATTGAGGCATCTTCAGGTTGTGTATTATCACTTCAGTTCAAATCATGACCCATGGGGTTGTATGAAGCAATAATACGAGGGTTGTTAGAAAAGTTCGCGTCAAGTTCTATTGTGAGTGCGCTATTTGCATGAAATCAGCATTACTCTGCAGGTAAAAGCTATACGTATTTTGCAATTAATATTCAAAAATTTGGTGTTTTCCGATTATCTATAAAAAATATACAGCAAAATTGTTTTGATAAAAGATGCTTCACGGAGCATGTTACTTTTTCGCACTTTTACATTTCAGAGACATAATTTTGAAATTAAAAATTGCACTGTTGTAGCGCATAAAGATTTATGATATTTCACCTCTCAATAAGATATTCATAAAACGTCATTTGGTGAAATTTTGAATTAAATTAGAGGAGTTATGATTATTTTATCACTAATTATAGATGATCAATGCGTAAAAACGAAGCCAAAAAATGGTAACGTCATTTAACGTCTTGGAGCATCGAGCTATTAAAAAATTATGTGTGCAGCCAGGAAAATGCCAAAAAGAGATTTAAATATTTTAGATGCTGCTGGGGATGGCTTACACGTATTTAGTAACAAAGTGTTCAAGTGGTAACAACTTTGTAAGAATGGGAGGATGGAATTTTTTTTATAATCAACTCCTACGATACCCTTTATCCTGCTCATCGCATTGACGTTGCGCCTATGGATTTTGCATTGTTTCTCATAATTGATTGCTGAACTTCGTAGACATTGTTTTAAATATCTCACTAACATCCAATACGCCACGAAAGACGTAAAAAAATTAACATTTCTTGATATACTTATTCAATTTTTAGTCAGAAAAAGACATGAAAATCTATAGAAATGAAAGATATTTAGAACTGTGAACAAACCTCACTGGTCTGGAATCAGATTGTCGCGTCACCTAACGTCATAAAACGTTGATTGCTCCATGAATCCTATGACCGTGCAGTAGAAATCAACGTATATTTTCGAATTCGAAATTTTAATAAATGGACCTAATCTTTTACATACTAATTAACAAAAGATAAGAATTTAATTGGACATACGTCATTCTTCAAAGTTTACAATATATTTTCCGTAAATCGCCGTATCCGCGAACTTTTCTAACAACCCTCGTATGTTATAAAAGTTTTACATAGGGACAGAAAATCTGCTGTTGAAGAATAGCAGGGCAATAGTTACTCAGGTGAGCGTTGAGGCTCATTTACCTTTTGTTCTATTTGTGCTTGATTCTATTTCTGTAAATGGAGTTTAATTGTAAATAGAGTTCAATTTGATATAGATTTTTTTTTGTATTATTTTTATAGTACTTTCATAATATCTAGTACTGATTTTAAATGTGTGACTCTTCTGTTCAGTGCAAGGTCAGATTTTCATAACTGTGTATTCATCAGTTAAAGATTGTCCACAAACAATGAAATTTATGTTAACAATTTGTGTATTTAGATCAGGCTCTTGAGCAAAAAAATTAT